AGAGTTTGCTGCTATTTCACATTTCTTCCATTATACATTTTGACTTCTCAGTCTCTGGCATATACTGTAACTTCACTACTCAGAAAACAGTAAGTATTTCCCCTGTATATCAGTTATTGACTTTAGCAAATGTTTTATCAGAGTTAGCATGAGAACAAAAAAATCACTGCATCCAGAGCCTGGTTGCCTCTGCCCAAACCTCTTTAGCATCTGGGACTAAAATATGTCTCTGTGTAATCTGTTTCCCATTGTGGTTTTAAAGGTCTGCAACATTTTTATAAGCTCAAGTACCAAAGTAACTCAAGACTAAACTGTGTTGGCTCACCCTGATGTAACCTCTATAAATGACAAACAAATCAGCATTTCACAGTTAAAAAACAACACCAAGCATTCTACAAAATCCCCAAGAAGTTTACTACAGTGATGCTAACAACGCTAGACATTAAGGCAAGGAATTTCCTTTTTGCATTTCAAGAGAAAAACCACCACAGCTGTTTCTCAGTGGATTCCCAGCGAAGTTGAAAAGGTCACTGACCCAGCCATGATGTAACACCAAAAACCACAAACAGTGACACCCCCAAGTAGTCACTCTTTGGTGAGTTTTGAGTAATGATTATTATCTAATAATCATTTTTGCCACAAAAACATGCTTTTTATCTTGCACGCATCTTGCATTAAAGCCTCACTCAAAGAGGGTGGCACAGCTCCATGCTCTTCGAATGTCTACTATCTCTACAAAATGGTTTGTTGACAGACCGGCAATAATGGGGAAAATCTGTTGATGAAAATGATGTGCATTAACTTTAAATTCTGGGAAATATGAATGATCGAAGAGAAAATTGTATCTTAGTCTCAACATTCATAGTATGATCTATGGTGTGCTTGATTAGAAACTGCAAGGGTAGTAATTTCATATTGTCAGCAAAACATCAAAGTTATTACATAATCTAAACAGGAAAGGAACAGAGGATCTTTGATGCTGTGACTCACATGCTTGGATTCTACACAAATGTGTGGGCAAAAACCTGTGTGCTGGCCACCCTGTCCTCCACCCTGCCCCAGATGTCACCAAGCCCTGCAGTGAGGAGCGCAACTGGGCTGTGCCAATACTTGGCACTGCCTTCACTGCCTTTTAGATTTCTGAGCTTCCCCATCCCTGTAACTGGAGAGTCTGTCTTGAATGTGATTTTGATATAAAACCCATATGTCATAGCAATACTGTGATGATGGAAGGGGTTGCCCAGAGAGGTGGTGGATGCCCTGTCCTGGAGACAATTAGGTTGGAAAGGGCTCTGAGCAACCTGATTCAGCTGTACATGATGGGAGTTGGACTAGCTGGCTTTTAAATGTCCCTTCCAACTCAAACCATTCTATGATTCTATGGCCTTGGTTTTTGCTGGCCTCCTAGGAAAAGCCACTACTGTTTGTCAGGCTGAGATGCAAAAAGAGCAGGTTCTTCAATGGAGAAACACAGGGCATTTGCAAGAGAAGAAAGGAAAGAACAGAGATATGGAAAGAACTCTATAAAGATTTGAGACCCAAATACATGTTTCAAAATGAAATATTTTAACTACGGCAGAAGTAATCTCTGATACCTGAGCAGTCTTAGTACTTCCTGCAATCCAGGTGTACCCATCTATCCTCACTGCTTTGTGCAGGACCTGCTTAGTTTGTTAGAAGAAAACAGTTGCTTCTCCTTGTTCATCAAACAGTGAGGAAATATGATCCAGTTATTCACAGAATTAATACTTCTCTACAAATATTCCCTTTATAAGTTTTATGTGCTTGGGGAAGGGGGGGAGCTATTTAAAGTTATGTGCAGGATTACTGGAACATGCTCTCTGTTGTGTTTGCAATACCTAGATTCAAGCCATTCCAATTCACCTTAACTTCTTTCACGTGAGAGATTCTATTTCCACTTCATAGGGCCTCCACAAATCATTCACAGAGATTTCTGGGCTCCAGTGGTGGGTAGATGAGAAGGTACATAGGTTGCTCTGATTGTAATGCTTCTTATTTATTTCCATGGAACCTGCAATAGATACAAACAATACAATAATACTCTTCGGCAGAGATGTTCTCAAGTACAAAATACTGTTTTTCAGCAGTCACCACCATTAGCTGATCTGTGTGGATGAGCTGTTAGAAACACTCTTCATTTCACCTGTGACAGCTGTACATGCCCATCTGTAATGTGGTTTGTCTTTCATACTGATATCACTACTGAAACGCACCACCCATCACCTCATTGTGCTAACATCCATTTCTTGGTCTCCACAAACATTCAGGAAGCATTGATGAATGTCAGTAGGTGCAATTTTTTCCACGTGGAGGAATTAAATGACACTCTTCTTTAGCTTCATATGCACTTCCATGTCTGATGCCCCTCTGTCAGAGTGCCCCTCTGCTGCCATCTGTCACACAGCAACAATGCGGTACGTTGGTGGGAAGGTTTGACATCTACTTCCATACAACCAACATTTGCCTTTGACATCGTGGGCCAAAATAATATAACAGGAGGAGCATATATATAACGAATAATAGAACAGGAGGAACAATATAACTTTTAGAGCAGCCTTGTATCAAATAAAAAAGCCATTATAATGGATACATTTGCACACAGGGAGGGAAGCAGAATGTAAACCAAGCAATGTTTGCTGTCTTGAAGGGCTATTTCCAAATGTTCTTTCTCTGCTGCAAGCTAAACAAACTTTGTGTACCTTCGCACTTACTTCAGGTGTTTCACGAGAAGCTTTTATTTCAAGTGTATTCACATTGACTCTCCTTCTTCCTTATTCAAATTACAAAAGATTTTGAGGAGGAAGTGTGTGTTGGAAAGCAGAATATCAAAAGTGAAAAAAAAAAATTCTGTCTCATTACTTCTGCCCTTCCTCTGCATCCCAAGGTTGCCTGGAACACAGGTGTGTGGGGGATATGGGAATTTTTCTTATCTTTCTTGTATGTGGTGAATGAAGAGAGCCAGAAAGGAGTTTGTCTGCAAGATTTTCCCATTAAAAACACATATAGCAAACACTATAGAGATGGAATGTGACTAAGGGCCTACTACAAAGAGTACTACTAAAGAAAAGACTCAGAGAGATTTTAAAAGAGTGAACTGTGTTTATCACAGAAGCATAGAATGGCTTTGGTTTGAAGGGACCTCCAAGCCCACCCAGCCCCAACCCCTGCCATGGACAAGGCTGCCCCCCACCAGCTCAAGTTGCCCAGGGCCCCATCCAACCTGGCTTTGAGTGCCTCCAGGGATGGAGCACCACAGCTTCTCTGGGCAGCTGTGCCAGTGCCTCACCACCTTCCCAGTGAAAAAATTCCTTCAACACCTAATCTAAATCTCCCTTCTTATAGCTCAAAACTGTTCCCCCTTATCCTATGAACTGTCTACCCAAGTAAAAAGTCAATTTCCCTCCTACTGATAAAATCGTACTGGAAGGTCACTATCTGGTCTCCCTGGAGCCTCTTCTTCTCCAGATTGAGCAACCCTGTCTGCCTCAGCCTTTCTTCACAGGACAGGTGTTCCACCCCTCTGATCATCTTTGGGGCCCTCTTCTGGATCTGCTCCAACAGCTCCACATCTTTCCTGCACTGGGTGCCCTAGACCTGAACATAATTCTCCAGATGGGGCCTAACAAGAGCAGAGCAGAGGGGGACATTCATCTCCCTCTGTCTGATGGCTACCCCTCTTCTGATACAGCCTGGGATACTGCTGGCCTTCTGGGCTGCAAGCGTACACTACTGGCTTGTGTTCAGTTTTTCATCTACCAGGATCTCTAAGTCCTTCTCTGCAGGGCTGCTCTCAAGGAGTTCTTCATTTATCTGGGATTCTCCTTCTATACGTGCATCTGGGATTCTCTAGACCTGGGTGCAGCACTTTGCATTTTGTCTTATTGAAGCACATTAGGTGGGCCCATTTCTCAAACTTGACAGGTCCCTCTGGATGGCATCCCTTCCTTCTACAATGTCAGCTGTACCATTTATCTTGGTGACATCTGTAGACTTGATGAGAATCTTGGTGATGAATCTAAGTCTCATTTTTGATATCTTGGGATGTCCAGGACCTATTTCCAATGTCCACTGTAGTTCTGAACAGAAACATCAAAATAGGTAGCAGCAGTCTATCTGGGTAGCAGCTGTGATGAAGCTCTGCTGACATAACACATGCAGATATGGGAATCTTTGCAGACCACACAGAACAGAGGCAGAAGACACTGCGTCTCTACACATCTACCTTGTGTACTGTTTCATTCATCTGTGGGAAGCAGAACACACAAATTTATATGAATACACAGAAAATAACCAATATTTTAAGCATACTCTCATTGAGACAACATCAGTTAAATATTTGGGTCATTCACTGGATAACTCAGGTTGAAAACTTTGAACTGTTTTCTTCATATTTCTCAGATAGAAAACAATCCCTTAAAAAAAAAAAAGAGAGAGAAAAAGAAAACCAATTACTCTTTCATGTCCTACTTACATACATCAGAAAAAGAATGCATAATTTCAGTAGACAGGAAAAATCAAATTAAGTGATTAGCTTGTCATTTCATTGTGAAATTGGATTTCTTTCTGTTTGCTAGGTGCCCTCCTTCCTCAGGCATGAAACTAAAGTTTAAAGTTCTAAAGTTTACCTTTCCCACAGTTTGTCTATTAATAATCCTTGCTTAGTGACTGATTAGGAGCCACTTTGTCCTCACTCTTGTTTATGGATATGAAGGCTGGAACCTAAGGGAAGCCACACAGGTGATCTATTTTACATCTTGATTCATTGTGAAAGCAAATTTATGAAGGAAGTAACACTAGATTTCCATTTCTTTTTTAATTGTATGTAATAGAAAAAAACAAACAACAATGTAATGGAAATATGTTACGGTGAGAGAAGTACCAAGTTTAATTGCTTTTTCCTCCTGATGCTTGGTTACAAAATTTTGGAATAATTAATTTTTTAATATCCCCACCTCACAGGAAAAATAAATTTCATGATTAGCATTCTTACTTTAAGAACTGATATATCCACTTCTTAAATTTTTATAAGCCATAGAAATGTAGTTGTCCGCTTCTGCTTAAAGAACTGAAAAGACTTTGAAACAGCCTAGTGATATTCTACTATTTCTGGTGGAAGAAAGCAGGCAAGCCTACAGACTTTGCTGCAGGTGCCCAGGCTTTAACATGAGCTGACTCACCTTTCTTTCAGTGCCTGCTGTGACTCAGACCTGTGAAAAGAGAAAGTCAAAGAAAACTTGTTCAATTTTTTTTTTTGTCAAAGTAGGTTTTGTTGTTGTTTTTGTTGTCGTCTAAGAAAATGCAGCTATGTCAAATTTTCAGCAAGTCTGTGATGGATTTCATGTTCTTCTTCATAAGGCATTTGTGCATACAGGATGTGTGCTGCACAGCATGTAAAACACAGCAGTACCCAACTAGATGGAAAAATGTTGGCTATGAGAAGCAGCTTTCCTGTCCAGCTTCAAGCTCTGTGCTGTCATCTGTCATGGGAACAAAGCCTTGGATGTGGGAGTAAGCCTGAGCGTCTGTGCAGCAGGCAGAGGGCATTGCAGGGTTTCCAGAACCTGCAGCTCTGAAATAACCTTGCTAAAGAAGCCATTAAAAGCAGGAGCCAGTAACACTCCCAAAGCTTCCACAGACCATTTTTGGAGCCAGCAGGAATCTTTGGGTCGCTGGAAATCTTGGCTGTGCTGGGGGCTTTGACCCCTGGTAATTTCAAGTTGAGTTTCATTTTGGAAAGTGAGCTTCAGGTGATTCTGAAGGTAAATCCTTTTGGAAATGTTCCTTTCCACGTATACATTTTAAGCTGACACTGAGTATTTTCCTCAAAGCGAATAAAGTGATTTTCCAAAGATTGGTGAAATGCTGCCAAAAACATTTTTGATGCTAATTACTGTATACAAATGAGAATACCTGCTGAAAGCTAAGACCAGGGACTATCTATCCAGTACTTTTTGAAAGGTTTTTCTTCATTTCCAATGCTCTGTGTCTCAAAACCACCACTGGGAAGGGCTGTTGATGCTGCTCTGGAGGCAGTAACGTCCATGCGTTGTGCAGGAAACTAAGCGCCATGAGGAGCTGAGCCAGCCTGCTGGAGAAAGGACCCTGAACACACAGAATGGTATGAGGAAGATTTGAGGTCTTTTGTGCCTTTATTTGTTCATTTCCTTTTCAAGCCTCAATCTTCTCAGCAACTGCAACAAAAAAAAACCCTTTTATGCTCAGATGTTGACTTTCTGCCCTGGAAAAACCCTTCTTGACTTCTGCTTGCCACCCCAGCCTTGCCCCTCTCCTACTGGAGGAGGCTTGATGGAAAACCTAGCAGGTGACAAGTGTACCCACAACCAGCGCCAATCTGCAGAGTGCTTCTGCCAATATGCCATGCCACTGAGATCCATTTGGAGGCAATGCTTCTTGGGTGAGCCTTGTGCTGTCCTTTCATTTATGCTCCTTACTGTGTGTTTGCACAGCCACTGCTCCCAAATAACTGTGAAAATTAAGTTTCCAACTCAAATGAATGGCTGACTATACGTGGTCATATCATCACATCCTCCACATTTTTTCAACATCTGCAAAGATTTGACTATTACATCCTTTATACCTGAGGCACTGCATCAGGATGGATCCTCCTTCGAGTTGCCAGAGCTACAGGGACTGCTTGTGAGTAGATTGAAAGCCATCTCTGGATCAGAACACGACAGCTTTTAAGAATGCACAACAGTAGCACAGAATAATTTGGTAGAGGAGGTTGGAAGAAATGCTGCATCCAGCTGACATGGAGGGAACAGTCACAGGTAAGAAGAATGTAATTATCCAGGCTGGAAGCAGGCCAGGATGCCATTCATACTGCAGACTTGGCATTTCTCAAAGTGAAAGAACAGATGTTTTTGTGAACTTCTGTCAGGCATACATTTTATTAATTAAATCTCTAAAAATTGCTCTGCCTTTGGCTCTTCTCTTTTTTCTAGAAATGTAAGAAACCTTAATGTCATATATGGATAGATAGATATGCATATGTATGTATATATACATACCCACACATCCATTTTCTGGTTCAGAACACATTAATTTTCTGAAGTCAGCGAAAGGGGAAAAAGTTGCTCTCTGGGGTCTTGCGTTCATCTCTATACTTCAGCTACAAGAGAGACCCCAGACAGACAAAACATGAGAAAATTTGCCGGAGGCAGCAATTTAAGCTGACAAGCTGATGGACTAGGTGATCATATAGATTTGCGCTACTTTTAACCTCTCAGAGGAAGAGAACCAGCTACGAGGAGGGGTATGTTCTAGGAAAGACAGACAGGAGGAGAAATGTAACGAATGCACTGAACAGAAGCAGGTGTACAGTCCTTCAAAGAGGCAGAAGTCATTTTTCCATTCTGCAGCTGCCTTCTACAGTGTGTACCTAGTTAACAGAGACACAGATCAAAGTTGCGGTCTGTAGTCTTTGTAATAGGTAACACACACAGGTAAACTAAACTCACCCTCTATTCTGAATTGTTCTACCACTTATTTCTTCCAGAAAATGGAAAACAGAGAGAAACTTACTTGATGTACAGCCAAAACAAACAAACAAAACAACAGAAAGAGGTAGTGTGTTTTTTGCTATTGTTATGTTCTTCTCAACTCCCCAGTCAAGTTTTCCTGGCTTGCAAAGCAAACTAAAACACTAATTTACATATGTATATTTTTCTCAACAGATTTTGAACTTTTTTTGAGTCAGAACAAATCAAGCCAGATTTGTTATCTGCTTCATAAGTCGTATTATATGGGTGTCTGAAGGTTGGTTCTTTGATAAGTAAAAATAAGTAAATTAAATAGCAATAACTTCTTATTCTTTCAGCTGGGTCATTATTTGATTAGATTGAATAAGAACATAGGGAAAATTCAGATATTTTATTGTTAAACCACTCAAACTATTGTAACTTGACATGAACAAATGCAGTAGCATATCCAAATTCAGTGTTCCCACTTAAAACTGATGTTGAAAAATGGAGAATAGTTAAAAAGAGCTACATGACTCAATGAATGAATGATCCACAAAACATGCCTGGTGGTGGGAAACTCAATATACTCAATCAATCTGTTTTATCTGAAAGGAAATCAAAGGGGAAAAGTCTGCTGATAGCAGATGATTCTTTAATGAAGCAGAAGAGGGCAGAACAAGATTTAGGGGTGGGAAGCTCATCATGGATTTAACAGATAAAAATAATTTCTGACAGTCAGGGTGATTAGCACTGAACCACCCCTCCAAAGATGTATTTACCTGGGTCAGTGCAGACCTTGCCAGACATTTCTAGAAGAGAACTGGGCAAGGTGTTTCATTTATACATCTCAGAGTCAGGGCAGGATGCTCCCTCAGGTCCTGCAAGTGATTACTATGACACCAGACCGTGATTCAGAAGCTGGGTTTCTCTACTGCCAGTAGTAGCTGGGAATCCACTCAACTCTGTTTTGCACACAGACACTGTCTGAATTTTTTAAGCCAAGATGGATACTCTTTTAAATGGTACTCATACACAAGGGTTTGTGCTGAAGTAATTTTCAGCTCAGGTTTAATTTGTAAAGCAGTTGTTCAGATTAGTTCTGGGTTCAAGCTCACTCACTGTGAACCCAGCCTCTGACTCATGATTCTTGTTGGATATAACTGAGGCACCACAGATGATCTAAGCCATCTGCAACAGTCATAGTTTCTGCAGCAGAATGGCATGGGGTAATGCAGTCTTCTCTAGCACGGCAAGATCAGCTAGTTCGAATCAATGCAGAAGGTGCGTGGGGTCTTGTACTGAAGAGAGAACACAGTTCACACTGTTATTCTGATGCTGCTGTGAGGTGGGAGCCCTGCACCCAGCTGAGTGGACAGATGGTGTGGCAGTGGTCCAAACTGCTTGGGTTGAAGCCAGAAAATACAGTGAACCATGGCCCCACAGAGGGAGGGCAAGCTCTTGTCCTCCCGTTCTCTCCTCCAGCCTTGCAGTGCAGCAAAGACAAGCAGAGTCCCCAACACTGTGATGTTTTCTATTTGGTTCCCTCCCAAGGTGGGGAGGAGTTCTTATGCTCATCAGAAAAAATTAACAGAGTCTCCACTATCTGGTGGGAAGTAGGCTGTTAGCTAAACAGGAAGAAAATTGTTTGGAAACTACTGAGAAACATTAAAGTAGTTATTTACTCCAGGAAACCAGAAGGTACCCCAGCTGAGAGGTCAGGACATTCCAATGGTCATGGAAGATTTGAAATATTAACCACAGAGTAAATTCTGTGCATACATCTCAGCATATATAACTAGATTGAAATCACCTGTTCATATTTGTTTTCATACAAGCAAAATCAACAGATTAAAATACTGACTCCTAAAGAGTTGGTGCTGGATTCCTTTATCTTGAAATTGAATAAGGACCTACTGGTTGTACAAAATGTCCCTTTTCTAAATGTGCAATTGAATTCCTTGGATGTACAACTGAAAACAAACCTGCTTCTGATGCACAACAATTAATAAGAAGAAATTTCTTGCTTTGATATTTCCATAGGGCAGATTATGAACCACAGCAGTAGAAGTTTGCAGAATCTTCTGGAGAACATCATATCCAACTTCCCCACTCAAAGAACAGTCAATGAGAGCAAGTGGTTCATCGCCTTTTCCTGCTTGTTTTTGATGGTCTCCACAACATTTCTGGGCAACCAGTGAATATTGGACAACTGTCACAGCTGGAAAATGATTTTTTCTTACACTGAAAGGGATTTTTCTGTATTTTGTATTTTGGTTAGTGGCTGTTGCTCTTGCTGCTTTGCATAATGCCAATGAGGAGTCTGGTTCTGATCAAAGTCAGTAAGGAGACCAGTACCCGAAATGCTCCATGGTTTGAAGGAAGAAGACTGAGGTAAACTGGAAAACATACCACAGGACAATGCGCTTGTGAGATTTGCCTTTCTCCCCTGCTGTCTGGATGAACATCCATTCCACTCTCTCTTGCAAAGCCTCATGAGACCAGTCAATGTCTGCTATGCATTATTTTGAGTCAAAGCCTGTGGGAAGAGGTGATGATTTCTATTAACATAGCAGATATTGCTGAGGGGAAAAAAAAAAAACCAAAAAACTTTTTAGACACAAACTTTTTACAGGACTGTTCCTGTAAAAGTAACTGAAAGATTTTGCCTTATTACATGTTGCAGCTGCTTAATTCATGTCTAACTCATTCACTGTAAAAAATCTAAAGTTTCTTCTTTTCAAGTATAAAACGAGCACATTTGTTTCTTGTAAGGAAGTAAAAAAGATGTGTTCAAATTAGAATAAAAGCACCAACAGATAGTTAATGAAAAGATAATATGCCAGTTCATACAATATGTAAGTTCAGTAAGAGCTGATTCCACTTCAGTCTCACACGCAATCTGAGTTTTCCAGTGTAGAGTCAGTCCTTGTGAACATATAACCTTTTTTGCCTCTGGAGGCTGGAACTCACTAGATGCTAGATGGATGGTAGAACTGCTTCTGTCTGACTGTTATGAAATGTAAGATAGAAGACAATACAGAACACTGACATATTTTTCTTTTCATTTGACATTGCCCATATGCCCCTGTTTGTTCCAGCTACATGAAATTATTTCTTAGAAGTCTGGGTTATGCTGGCTCAGTCCTGTAGTCTTCTTCATTTACTGTCAATAAATGGTATTGATTTCAACAGATATTTTGTCTGAGCTGTATCTTAAAGCATAAAGACTTTAATTCAAAGTGTATATAGCCGAACAAAAATCACCTAATGCTGAGCAGATATCAGGTTAAATTTCAGTCATGATTCATACACTGGCCTGATAACAGAATTTCCTGTTGATATCAGCACAAAGCGTCTTCAGATCTGAAGCACTGGTATTAAGGAGAGTTCAAGCTTAAGAAGAAACACATGTCTCTGTAAGAAGGTGATTCCAGATTCCTATGGTGACTGAGCTTATTCTTCTTTTTTTAATTTAACCTCGTATCTTCATACACCCTTCCTGCAAAAAGCTAAGCCCAGAAATATTGAGTCGTGTCCATCATGCAACCCCTCAGTAATTCATTTATTCACTAAGTGCAACCATCAGCAAAAAACTGTTCAGCCATGTTTATCATTACTAACAAACACATCTGAAGCCAAACCCAAAAAGCAGTTTCAGTTTAGTTCAGTGAGCTAAAAAGAGTGCCTTGTTGACCCCAGTTTATTGTCTGTTTAGAGGCACACTGTGGATCTCAGAGGGCTTTGGTCAACTCAGAGAAACAAGTAGTAGAAATTTATTCTGACTTTGTCAGAATGAGCAGATTTGCAAATTGGGCTGGGAATCTCAGGAGCGCAAAGTTTGTGTTAATACATTTTGGCAGCAATCTGGCAGAATTGAAGGAATAGAACTGTTTACTATGGGGCAGTTCAGCATCTCCACTTCCCATCTCTGACAGAGAAAAGATTTCCAAAGGTGCTGAAATAGAAAGGCTGACCTGGGGTCTCCAATCACTAGAGGCGTGCAATCTTGTATCTTTTTGGTGCCCTGATCTGGAAAACGGCCTTATTTACACAGGTAAGAAGTCCTATTGAGTTCAAGATGCTATTTTCATGAAAGCTGTTCCCAAAACTGAAGCACAAACAAGAGATCTTATCAGTTGCTTCTCTAGGCCTGACTTCAGTCTGTCTGGGAAAGAGGTTCCTTTTGGGTTACTGGCTTATGACATTAAGCAAAATGTATTGTGGCTCATGACGATGATCAGGGATTCCAGGGCATTGTCCAACGTCTCTTGAGCTTCTCCTCGTAGGATGTGCTCTCCAGCCTGGTTACCAGCTGAGTTCCCTCCTCTGGGTGCTTTCAAGGGCTTTAACATCCTCTTTATATAGTAGAACCCAGAAATGCACACAGTGTTCATTGTAGGAATTAGCCTTCAATGAGAAACCCAACAACCTCATATCTGCTAAGAAGGGCAGTCCTAGAGGCTAGGACTAGAGGCTAGGCAGTCCTAGAGGAAGCTAAACAGCAAGTTGTCAAGGTGAGGAGCAGATCCTGCTGGGTATTCCTTGAGCATTCAGTACCTGACCTCTTCCATTTGGAAGCCAGAGCCAGGAAATGAGCTTGGAGCCGAGACCAGACTAGGCTTTTTCAGTAACACAAGAAAAGACATGGATGAAGTCCCACTCCTATTGTTGACTTTTTCTGGTGGTTTTATGGTCTTTCTCTGGCGAACTTGGTTGAAATCCTGCCCACATGAAACAAGAATGTGGACCCTGGTTTCTGTCTCCCACTCTCAGCTGCATTTCCTGTATATTGCACAAGCAGCATGACTTCTTCATTCTGTGCAACAGCTAGTTTAGAAGTCAATTTTCAGATACCAGCCAGGGAAGGCATGGAGGCTTATGGCAAGCTGGGCAAGAGGGGAACATCCTGTAACACTGCAGAGAAGCACAGCAGGGCTGCCCCAAATGCATGCTCATACAGGTCGTGGCAGACAGATAAAGCACCATGAAGATGTTACTGGGAGAAGTAAAAGAGCAGAGAAAATCTGATGTCTTCTCAAATTATGCAGCAGCTGAACAGAAGAATCAAAATTTTGGAAAGAGTTAAAGTGTCAGTCTCTGTGAATGTAGCTACTGAATGCCTAGAAAGAGATTAATTTCAATCTGCATATCAGACATGCTTACTAGGAGAGGTGCTCTCAGTTCAGACTGGGATTTAGGAATAGTGCCATAGTAAAAAAAATGTTTAAAGCCTGAAAATATTTTTTGAGTTGTATTTTAATTATACTGGTGATAATGCTGTAAATATAAATGAAAATGTAAAGCATACAGCTTGGAGAAACAATAAAACATGTCTTGTAAGTGAGACACGGTCATATTCTATCAGAAAAAGTACAACAATAGGTATATTAGAGGAGTCAGAAAATGCTTGGGTATTTGATACTGAAAATGAAACTAGCTTGCATTAAAATGTAGCTTGAGCAAAAGAGAATTTTTTTTCTCTTTTTCTGTGAGCAGATTACAATACAGTGGGCTTCTTAATAGTTTTAAGATAAACTAATCATCAAGTTATTTTCACATTTTGCACATGATGCCAAGCATGTTTGTAGCCTTATGTTTCTGAGCACAATGACTTTTTTATTTCAAGTAAGGTTTAATAAATTTGTCCCATGCTTATTTCTTTATAAAGCAGCACAGGAAGGTCAAAGAAAGGGTTTCCTTTTATATTATGACAGCCCCCAGTGGGGTAAAGAATAAAAGTGGTTTATAAATAAAAGCCTCTTTCATCTGTCCTTTGATCCCCCCACACAACAAAACCTCCTTGCAAGTATTTTGCTTGACATAGTCATCATTTCATATTAGTTTCAAAATTTCTGCAAAACAATGTCTTGATCATTAGTTACAGTTAAACTCTGTTGGTAACAGAGAAAGGAGTGCATTGTGAAGGTATGGAAGAGACTGCATACTATTTTTGTTCATTACTTTCAGCTTTCAAATAGGCCAATGATTAAACCATAATTTATATGTTGCACATTTCAGGGCAGCTCCATAGTTGGATAAAGCTTGAGTTACCTACAAACATTGTGTATGTTCACTTCTGCTCAGGCTTTCCAATGCACTTCTGTGCCAGATGCCATAAGCTCTAGCTGTTTGTGTCAGGTGATTTAGGAAGTTTCTGTAGCCCACTGCTCTCCTAGCTCTGAGGAGGAAGGAGCAAGAGGTAAATCACATCTACTCTTCTGCTCCCATACCTTTCTCTTCAGTTCTTGTCTGGCCTGAGACGCACAGTGTTTTAATAAGCACTATGGAGAATGGTGCGTATTCAGGTCACTCCTCAGTGACCTGGATGAAGGGATAGAATGCACCCTCACCAAGTTTGCTGATGATACAAAGCTGAGTGGAGCAGCTGACATACAAGAAGGATGTGCTGCCGTTCAGAGAGATCTGGATAGACTGGAGAGCTGGATGGACTGGAATCTTATCAAGATCAGTGAGAGCAAGTGTAGAGTTCTGCACCTGGAGAGGAGTAATCACACATCAGTACAGGGGATGAGCTGCTGGAGAGAAGAGAGCTCTGCAGAGAAGTCCTGGGTGTTCTGATGGACACAGGTTGGCCATGAGCCAGAAGTGTGCCCTTGTGGCCAAGAAGTCCAATGAATCTTTGGGTGCATTAAAGACAGCGTGGGCAGCAGGCCAAGGGAGGTGATCCTCCCAGTCTATGCTGCCCTGATGAGGTCATATCTGGAGAACTGTGCCCAGATCTGGGCTCCCCATTTCAAGACAGACAGGGAACTACTGTAGAGAGTCCAGCTGAGGGCTGCAAAGATAACTGGGGCCTGGAGCATCTCTGTTATAAGGAAAGACAGAGAGACCCGAGAGTGTTCAGCCTGAAGGAGTCTGAGACAGGATCTGGTCAGTGCTTATGAATATCTGAAGAACAGGTGTCAAGTGAATGGGGGCCAGGCTGTTTTCAGTGGTACAGGACAAGGAGAAATGGATGAAAACTAGAACACAGGAATTTCCATGCAAATACACAAAAGAAGTCCTTTACTGGAAGGGTGGCAGAGCAGTGGAACAGGCTGGCCGGAGAAGCTGTGGAGCCTCCATCTCTAGAGTTATTCAAAACCTGTTTGGACACTTTACTGTGTGACCTACTGTAGGGAACGTGCCTTACCAGAGGTTTGGACTAGGTGATCTCTGAAGGTCCCTTCAACTGCTGCAATTTTGTGAAAACAGCAGGCAGTTGAGAAGGCGACCAAGACCATTCTCAGACTGCAGCACAAATACAGGATGGACAGCAATGGAAGGGAGGAATCCACATCAAGCTTCGTGAGTCCTAGGTGCACAAGTAAAGCTGAGCTCCAGGTGCAGAGCCAGCACCCTAACCACTTCTGTGAGCTGAGAATAAGAGAACTTGACGAAAAAGGCCCTCTCTTTGAGAGATCTAACTGCACCTGAAAGACAATTATGCTCACATAATGAAACAAAATGAAAACAGATGCATAAAAAGAACTATTTTTAGCTGTCATTACATTATTTTTCATACTGTAGCATTTGAAATTTTAATCTGTTTGCATCTTTTTATTTATGCTCAAGTTACATGGGGTTTGTTTAGTCCCTTTTCTGTAATAAAATTAATATTTACATATATATCATTAATTTTCATTTATTAAAAACAGCTTTCCTGCAAAAAAGTAATTCAACTGATTATTAAAAACATACTTAAGAAGGCACCAAAAACATATTGATTGCAGGGATTTTGAATGGCAAAAAATATGCTTTTAATTATTGTTATTTTATTAATGGACAAGAACTGTCTTATTAATAAATCTGAATTGGATATGTTCTGAGGAACATTAATGCAAACCATTCCAACCACAAAAATTAAATACACGTTGGTATATAATAAAGCTCTCGTATAGAATTGAGGTGACTTACAAAAAGATCTTTCAGCTTTTGAACAGACCAACAGGGAAGTATTTCACTGTCTGAGTTCACAGTAAGGTCTCTCACATAAAGTATGTTGCATAAAAGAGCCTGCATCTTCTTTCTGTTGGGATCACGTTTGTGTATCTCCATCAGCTTCCAGGTTATTGCTTCCAACTTAAGGCAAGATAAAAACAAGATTTGGGCTGGGAAAGCTGAAACCATCCAGCTGAAGTAGTAGAGTAGACATAAACTATCAAACATTGACCCTAAAAATGC